AAAGCAAGAGGGGATGACAACGAAAGAGACGACCCGGGAACAATACTTTAAAAAATGGCAGAGCGAACGGGACAACACGCCCAATGCTTCATGGACTCGACTTTTGATCAAAGAGATAAAGCCCTGGGTGACACAAACACATGGACACCTTAACTACCATACAACGCAATTTTTGACAGAACATGGTAATTTTGGAGTATATACGCTCAGAATTGGCAAAACGTTACATGATCTATGTCGCTACTGTCAGGCCAAAGATACAGAAGAACACACAGTTTTCCGCTGCTGTAGATGGGACAAACTAAGGTTCGACCTCAATCTACAACTGGAGGAGGACATAACGAGAGAAAATATTATCAACAAAATGACTGAAAGCAACAGCAACTGGAGCAAAATTAGCACATATCTGTCTACTATACTAAGAACAAAAGAAAAAGACGAAAGAGACACACAATGTACACTCCTGAACCCCTAATCACCCCGGTGGAGGGGGGACGTAGGGAGCTATGACAAATTAGAAGCCATGCAATAATAGACAGCCCATTGTCCCCGACGTGATGCCAAACCGGCGGTTCCGGTGGTTCCGAGGGTAGTAAGAAGGGCGGTTCGATATGGCCTCTTGTTCGGTCAGCACTTGCGCCGGCTACGCCAAAAAAAAAAAAAAAAAAAAAAAAAAAAAAAAAAAAAAAAAAAAAAAAAAAAAAGGTAGTACTATGTGGAGTGGAAATGTGGACACAAACTCAAGAAATGAGAGATGAGATCAGGGCTGTAGAAGTGGACTACATGATACGATGCCTACAATTCGCAGGGACAGAAGCGAATATAATAAAGAAATATGGAGGAGGATGAATGTAATTTGTTCTATTACGAAGACCTTAGAAAATAGAGCACTACTATATTATGGAGAATTTCTGAAAACAGATGGCCCCATAAGACCTTAAAGTGGCAAACTCCTGAGAGGAGAAGACGAGGAAGACCCGTTTTAGAGTGGGGAAAAATACATTTAGAAAGCTATGGAGGATAAAGGTCTCAAATCAGGACCGAGCGTTATGGAGGGTGAAAACAACAAGCTCCTAAGGGAGAAATGCCAAATTGGAAGAATATTTCAAAAAAGTAAACCCTTCTTGTATACAAATTTCCATTGAAAAAAGACGCGAGAGATACTTTATAAAAATTAATTGATTTTTTTAATCAAAATGACGTTTACGACACATTATTCCATCCTTTTGACACTATCCGTGCAAAAAAGTTTCGAGAACGAATTTGGAGCAGTTTTTGAGAAAATGTCGTTCAAGCGTGTCTGAAAATTCGGAAATTTAAGTTCGTATTTAAAGAAAATTTTAAGTTTTCAAGAAATATAAGACATCAATTGAAACATTTTTACTTTAGAGACATTTTAAACAAAATTACGTTAGTGTAATTTTGGAAAAAAGAAAATGAAACAGTAATGTTTACGTCACCTGTTGCAGTGCAATTAGCACTATCCTTCCAAAATGTTAAGAGAAAAACATTGGAGGTTTTTTTTTGAGAAAATCTTTTTTAATTTTTTTAAATAATGCTTATATTTCACTAAAAAATACGAGAAAACTATCCATATTTGAAAACAAATGTCTGTGTCCACGTTTAAAGACAACATTTTGAAGAACAGATTTTATCCAAAGGAAACATTTTTATCTTCAATACTATACAAAATCTTTATCTTCAATCTACTCTTCAATAATGAAGATCTTTAATACTGAAGATGTAGGAAGACGCCAAAAACATTTGGAACGTTTGCAATTTTAGAAATTTCTGATATTTCAACCAAATGTGAGACTTGCGCCAGTTTTTAACGCAAGTCTACTTGTTAATTCCATAGTAATCTATTGCCTTCCTTAAATCTATTTTCTTTCATTAGGATATTATCTACATTATTTCATCATCACGACTACCAACAATGTAAAGGATTCTAAGAATTTCAAACTGCCATGTCGTTTTGCCAACTGAGAGCGCGTCAAACGAAGAACGGGAAATTGTTTCGCAATTTCCATTTTGTTTTTGCAATTTTCTAACATACAGAGACTTCGCCGAAAATATGACCAGTATTACTTTCTTTCCCGTTCTTTTTTACTTAAAAAAATATATAAAGAAAATATTTGTAGCCGTTAGAGAATAATTGTTTAAATTCTCTCAAAATTGCCTATGTTGCACGCAAAATTACAAAAAAACTACTCATTTTTTCGAAAAAAAGAACAAATCATTATTTGAAGATCTGATTTGATGAACATATTTCATTAAGAAAAAATTATATTTTCATTAGAGTAGTTGTAGGCACGTATTGAAAATGTTTTGGACATGCAATTTTCGAAAATTCAGGGAGTGCAACAAAAATGCGACTTGCACCCTTTCGGCGACTATTCTCTTACAGGAATAAATTCAAAAATAAAATTTGGAGCAATTTTTGAGGTTTTTTTTTTTAACTTGAGGTTTTATGTAAAGTAGCCCCAAATATAGAAATAATCGTTTCAAATTCAAGGGTTTGCGACATCAGTCACATCAATCACGGAATATTATGTTTGGTAAATATCCTGCTTACTATTTAGCCACTAGCGTTGTTCACACACACACACACACACACACACACACACACTTTGCCGTTAATCGATTTTTCGGTTTCAAGAACCCACTGCAGGTGGATTCTGACTACTCGTTTAGAGAAAGTAATTTACTTTCATATAGGAACGAGATTTATCCACTTTTTTTATTGCCAAGTAGGCAATAGGAGTTGCCAGCGCAATACGATTTTTTGTCGAAAAATCGCTTTTTCCCCCCCGCAACATTACAATACTTTTTTGTCTATTGAGTAAGCAGTAGGCGACTAAAACTGGCCTTTTAATGCATTTGCGGCTTATAATGTGTATTGCATTTACCTTGTGTATCTATCTCACTGACGACATTCGCTTCCGTAGCAATAATGCAAACAAACCTGTGCATGCAAACAACTTCAGCATTACAGTCTATCAACATCGCACTCAGTATTGAATATTTTTCTCAAAATTACATCAAGAACTCTACGAAATGTTGTAGAACACTACACACTACAAGTTATATTCACAGTACGTATCAATTAACAAGATGTCGTTTACTTTCCTGTAATATCTGGATATGTGAAAATATGTCTCATCAAAAAACACGACGATTTTTTTTCCAATTTCTCCATTTTTTGGCCTCCAAATTGCACATCTAAAATATTACTTAAAAATATCGTGGAAGAGCGAACCTTTTTTATAAAAGCATATTTTCATTGTAAAAATAAATTGAAGCCGTTTTTGAAAAATTGTCGTTTGAAAGTAGCTAAAAATGCACAATTTTGAGCCGAGTTTCACTGTATAGATAACTTTTGTGATTTCAAGGATCTTCTGAAGAAATCATTTGAAGCACGTTTACTCACAAATACAATCAAATATATTATATTAGTGGGTCTGGCACAAACGTTCTTGTACTAGTTTTCTAATTTTCAAATCTGGGCTACCTTTTCTGCCTTGTCCAGAAAACTTATGTTTTCGAGAAACTTTATACATAATTTGAAGGATTTGTTGAAATAAATTCAATAATACTCACAAATTGCTGTTCAAGCTAATATTAACGACGAGAAACAAATTTGAAAAAATATAATTATGTCATTTTTGAAAAAACAAAACAAATGGTCAAAACGGCGTTTATGTCATCTTGTACAGTACATTTAGCACCATCCATTAATATTGCACACATTTCACTCAACATTGCGCGAAAACTACTAAACTTTCAACAAAACAAATAATGTAGACGACTTTAATGAAAGAACTAATTATGGGGAACACATTTTATTTAAAGAAAACTCTTATCTTCGATTTTGTAGCTGCAGGAAGACGAAAAAATTTCAAACTTTTGCACTTTTCGAGGTTTTTCAACATCGCAGAACTTCTAGTGAGGCCCGATTGACAGGAGTTCATTCAATTTGGAAAATTGGGCCCTGTAATAAAGAGTTGTTCTACCGAAAATTCACCGTTATTTCGCGCAGCAAAACCTCTCTACAACGGTAGCGAAAAAGTAAAAAATAAAATTTAAAAAATTAATAAAATCTATTTCGGTATCAGGGGACCTCAAAACGTACTCCCGTTGAAATCTCGAAATCAATTTTCCACAGCATTATGTAACATTCTCCATACTACGTGTATTACTCCGTCTATACGTACGTACATACGTATATACGCAGGAAAGTAAAAAAAATCACAGGGCATTAATTTAAGAACTAATTGAAAAGAACAAATTTCATTTGACTCAAAATCAGTTAGTTTCACTAACATTGTATGAAACAGCCCAAAAAAATTGACTTATCCCATTTTCTAAAATACAGACGAACACTGAAAATCGAATGGCGCCATTTTTATAAGCATATTTGACTGCAGTCTATTAACAAATTTAAAGAAATAAATTAACTTTTTTGGGGGGGAGGATATGGTCCCCAGTGGCTTCGTGTGCAGTACGCCTTATATACTCGAAGAATTCGCTTGAGGGTCGGACACCCTGAAGGGCGATTTAAACAATCATTTTCAAATCGTACATTTCCGTTAAAATCTGCCTTTCCGCAGCATTACGTAATTTTCTCTTGTACTATGTGTATCATTAGGCACACATGCACATAAACGAGCAAACTAACACGATACCAAATAACGAAATAAGCACAAGATAAAACGCAAAGCGCCTGCGACAAGTTTGTAAGTTTACTAGTGTTGGCATCTACCGGATGCTGTTCGAACTTCGTTGAAAAGCGTCTCGCCACTGCACAGCAGCGGTATGTTTAAATGGTTAGCCGCAATACTACGCTAAAAAGACAGCGATTCGAATCAACTATTTGCCAACATTGGTGGCAGTTATCTCGATATATTAACTCACATAATGTCAATAAGTAATATACACTTTAATAAATAAGAATCAAAAAATATGAAAGAGTCAAGATAAACTAAAATAATTTGTCTTACCTCAGAGTCCGAATCCTCATTTTCTTTCCCAGATGTTCCTTCATCGTCAGTCCAACAATATTTCATCACAACAATAGATTCTTCCTCGATCTTTGGTGTACACTGGGAGGCGATGCTTGTAGTTATTCCAGCAATTACGGTATCACTAATTGATACCGATGATACCTCACCCACTTCTTGGGGATAATCACTATGTTCAACAGAAGTAACACTGTCCAGAGTCATCACAGGACCTTCCAAGACATTACTGTCTTCAACATTCATCTTGCCTTCGCTGTCATTATTCTTAAGTTCTTGTTCTAAATACAAATTGTCACTCGAGATTCTCGCATTATTTTCCACATTGTCACTATTATCCTTAATATCTTGCCCTGACTGCAAATTGCCACCCGTAGTTCTTTCAGTAAGTTTCGTTTCGTTGCACGACATGGCAGACCTATAAAACACTGTTCGCTGTTTGACAAAAGATAGTATGTAACTTTCTCCTTTTATAGATAGTGCCGAAAAAGAGATTTTTGCTGGTTTCAAACAGCAAGTGCGCCGGTAAACACAATGCCCAAGTGCCTTTGTTTCCTTAACGAAATACAAGCTACGAAACAACAAATTACTGTCCAGTCTCAAAAAATGTCTGACTTCTCCAAACATCTACAAGAAAACTTATAACTAGCCTCAACATCTAAATTACTCAAACACGAAGATTCATGTGAGAGGTTAAACACGACATGAAAACGCCGCTGTCATGTACAGAATAAAACAAAACACTTTAAACACTCAAATCGATGGTATACACACGTAATTACTCAAATCACGTATGCGTCAATATGTTTTCAATAAAACTGATGTTTAACTCAGGAAAGTAATACAATCAACAGAGCTTTAACCACATGCTAACAGACCGACTCCTGAACACTCGTGATATCATTCCCAGCTCTTTTCTTCAAATTCGAGCGATCGTTGTGCCTCCTCTGAACCGCGTGCGAAACTGCTGTCAGAGGCGCGACATTTGAATTTCTCTGACCGCTAGCTTGAAAATCGCCAAAATGACGAAGAAATGTTATATTTGCAGGCTCAGATCTACGTGGAGGATAATGAGGGAAATTTCCCCTCCCAAAAAATTTTCAGTAATTTGAACTTGTCACGAAACTTTCAAGCAAAAATATTTTCGTATAAACAACAAAACCAATAAAATTGTATCGCAACAAAAGCTGAGTTTAGCCTGCATCTTTCTAGATAATCTGCAATATGACACATTTGCGAATACATATTGAATAAAAGAATTTCCTTTTCCAAAATTCATCTCTGGATTCGCCAGTGTACTTGTCATCACTAGGGGGCGGATTTTAATGAAATGTCGTTTCTCTTTTCTTTTCACTTTAAGACAATGCCTTTTGGTTTAGAACTTCATTTTGTTTCGAGAAAAGGAAATAAACCATTTTTGTCTTTTTTTGTTTTCTTTGCATTTTGCGTCGATTTTGACCAAGTCATTTTTTACCTTTTTATGCCATTTTTAACGCATGGCTGATTTCATCGATTTTAATTTCATTTTAATGGCACTTGCTTCAAACAATATTTGAATGCAACATGTAGTGAAGGCATGAGATTCAACAAATGTTGACCACAGAATTCCTGAGTAGCCTATTTGATTTCTTCACTCATACATGGTAATGTCAGCCGTAGTGAGTTCGTTTTATAAGGTTCCTGTGATGCCTATCGGCACCATTGTTAGTTCATCTGATTTCGCGATTTTCTTTTAAAGAACAGTCCAAACCAAAGTTTGGGAGTTGTGTTCTTGTGTTCTCTTGAACAGAAGGATGAAGCCTTGATTACATCAGTAACATAAACAGCTTGAGTTGTCCATATAAAGTGGTTTTGATCTTTTTTTTAAAAAAAATACTTTTTCTTGTTTATAGAACATTTTTAAAGCATTTTAAGAGCATTTTATTGATCATTTTTGGCAATATTTTAGGTCATCAAAATCCACCCCCTAGTCATCATCATGAACATATACGATTCAGGCCTTTTGACCTGTCCCTTTTCATTTTTTCAATATTCCTTGGTCACTTTCAAGTAGTTTTCCCAGCATTTTCTGTCAGCCTGGGTCTCATCTCTATTGGTTTGTACTTTTCTTGGGAAAGAATCTTTAATCATTCTTTTTATACATTCTTTCTACTTCTTTGATTTCTCAATTTATAACACAATATTCTTAGCTCTAAGTTTTTTTAAAACCTCTTCATTGCTTGTCTAGTCTGTCAGGTTTTGTTCTATTTCCCTGGTCCTTTGAGCAAATGCTGAGATGGCCCTATGTTTGCTCATGAACAGTAATGTAACTTGACTCTCTCCACCCAAGGCATCATATTGACTCATAATACACGATTGTAATTGTATGTGACTCAATAAATATTATTATTATTATTTTTGTTTTGTAACCAAATATTATGGTGGGATTCACAACAAAATTGTTAAGTCTTACTGTTATCTCCACATTCATGTATGTACAGATATTATTTGTATGTCTATTCATTTATTATATTATATTTTGTTAATTTCAATTCCATATCTTCTTCTATTAGTGATATTTTAATCCTCTAATATGTAAATGTAACAAATTGTTTTATTATTATGTTTCCAAAATGCAATTTTTGTTCAAATATAATCTCTATTTATTTATCCCAATTTTTGTTTTTGTAACTGATATTTTTATTTTATATTCCTTTGTGATCTTATCTAATTTATAATATGCTCTTAGTAAATTGTTGTCAGATGTTGCTAGTATTACTTGGTCATCTGTATACAGTACAAACTTTATTTTCTGTCATGTTTTTCATGTACCCATTTTCTGTGTGTGTGTGTGTGTGTGTGTTTTTTTTTTTTTTTTTCTTTTTTTTTTCCTTTTTTTTTCTCCCAATGCTTCTTTCACTGCTCACTTTATTATTTGTTTCAAGCTTTCCCATTTTCCAATTAGGCTTCAATTTTTTAATTACATGCCTTACTACCTACATATGTAGTATAGATAATTAATGCAATGCTGCATCAAAAATCAGCAATTTTTCCAAAAAACTCAAATTGTCAAATCTTGATACTGAAAAAGGGGAAAATTCTTGAACCTATTTGTACGTCATAACTTACTCTTATACATTGCGTAGTCAGACACATTTTGTGGGTTCTCTATACCAAAAAATTGCTTTACGACAGTGTGCCATCTGTGATCAAATCTGCTAAATCATCAGTAGGATTTTTACCAAAATTGACATTACTCAATCTACCTGGCTGATGTCAAGGACCCTTGAATTTGAAACAAATATTTTGATTTTCACTTTATATGAAGCTTCAAGGACAATTTCAATATTCCTTCAAAGTAATGTACACATATGAAAATGGTACATATCTGATTATCGTTAAATTTTCTGGCTTTCCAAAATTTTCATAATAAAATCAGTTTTTCAAAAATAGATCTTTTAGTAAGATAATGTACATGTTTTTTGTACATTACTACTTTTGTGTATTCTTTTTGGGTTTTAGTGTATAACTTACTTTGCTTTCTATAAGGTGGTGGTCACTATTAATCTCACTTCCTCTGAATACTCTTATCTTTCACTTCTAGTCTTGGCTCCTGTTTGATGTTTAATTTCGTCCCTTCCTTCCCAAGTGTATTATTAGTGTTATGTTGCTATGTTATTACAGTACAATACCTTTAGAACTCCACAAACTTCTTTAAATTACATTTTTCCTTCAGTGATACATAAAAACAAACTTGTATTAAAATGTTTTTCTATAACTCGAGTTCTTAAGAACTTTTTGGAAAATTTACCTTCCATACATTCTCAATATTTGAAATTGACTATGTTTTTCCACTTAATAATGGAAAAGCATTCAGAACATGTCTGATATATTTCATTTTTTTTGTAAAAGTTTCAGCTGGTAACAACTCAAAATGAATAATGCAGAAGAGGAACGAATTTGGGTACTTCAAAACTAATTAATTATTAAAGGTAGGAGAACATATGTATAAAAATATGAAGGTAATGTCATACTTTTTCATCTTCTTAATGTTGATACTCTTGGCAACAACTGAACTACAGAGACATAGCTCACTTAATACGTTCAGAGGTCTTCATAGGTTTATTTGTCATTGCGTCTAAAAAGATTCATATGGGGCATTGAATAATTTAATTATCCAAAACATGAAACACAATTTTATTAAAATTGATTTAAAAATTAACATAACTTGAAACACTCTTCAATCATTTACACTATACTGAATATAAAAGCATTATCTAACTCTCAATAAACTTCGGTATAAAAGTTACATACATATTTGATACAAAACTAAACAGAATATTAAATCTTAAATTCTTTGTAACAAATTATAGAATAAATGTTCTTTTAACATATTAAGTCAATATTGCAGAACAGTTGGAATGTTCCTCAAACTCCAGATCTGATTTACTTGAAATAGGATGAGGAGATGATTCTTCTGAATCCATATTTATATCATAAAGAAGAGAATTTGAAGGCATAGGAGAAATAAACACATCACCCTGGGCATTTCCTTGCATCTTACAGCTTTCAACAACAACAGATTCAGAACTGAAATAGCAAAAATTGACTTCACAATTATTATTTTTTTATAGATATATGAAACAAGTTAAAATATACACAAAAAAGGTAAAAATAACCTAAGAGGATCTCTTATACTAATAAAAAAGATCTAAAAAGATATTTGGTAATGTTTGCGAACCCCAACACCACCTTCTCTATCCATGAAACCAAAGATAGTTGATTTAATTGAGAAAACAACTTGTAAAAAATTCTACCTACCTGTCAAGTAAACACAAAGAACCCACAGTATTCTGAATATTGTTCTGTAATGTTCTCACAACAATGCCATACTCCAAACAATTTTGTATAAGGCAGTCCTTTAAATATACTTCACCACCATCATACACCTGAAAAAATAAGCAAGTTCACCGACAAAGCTAGAACTATACCATTGGAGGAATCCACAAAATATTAGTATTCCATTTGAGAAAAAAGTAATATTCCACAAAATGTATTTAAATTTACAAAGTGTACAAATTCAAACTACAGCAGTTAAAAACTAAAGAATATGTAAGTAAATAATGTATCTTATTACTTCTGACACATAGGACGCTGGGCACAATGACAAAGTCTTAAAACCAGTCTGATCAAATGTGAATACAATTTGTATATACCCATAGATAGAATTTTTGTGGAAGATTATTTCTATTTCTCTTCCTCCAGTTACCTTGGTTCAGCTGTATAAGAACATCTACCTGAATACCGATTGCACAAGATGATAATCGGCAACGAATTAATGTTAGTGTAGCTCCAGCATGTACGGCAAGGGCAGCATCAAAATCTGAGAAGGCACATTCAATTAACTCAGCCCTGCCACCAGGCATAATACACACTCCTGTAGTCGAAGTGTTATGAGGATCACACAAAAACTGGCAGTTTTTGGCATTCATAACTCCACTTCGCACAACAACCAATGCTTGTGTTACTGGTGCAGACAGCGATAGATCTTCAAACTTTATTCTGATTCCTGCCCAGTCCACAAGGGTAGCACATGATTCTGCTGCACTCAATATAACTTCTGATGATGAGGGACAGCCTGAAACAAATAAACCTGAGAATGACACTAGGAACAAACTTTTTCTAAATAGGGAAATCAATGATATAACTATTGGAGACGAATGTAGAACTAATGGAAAAAGATATTATATGTATAAATGAATGCTACGATTTAACAGCTTAGCTCACAAGTCATGAAAAGAAATTTCACATAAAGTGTTTCACACCACCAAACGACCACTAACAATACACCCCTAATCTCAATTTAACAAGCACTTTAAGGGAACATCTAGTCAACATCAGCAATAAACTTTAATCAATTACAATCAGCATGAAATTGTAAAAGGACAAATTGTTCTAAAAATTAGAAAGAAATGGAGGTAGAAGTAAAAATATTTTCTTTGGATTCATATTCTATGTTTATGTGAAATTACGAATGGATCCTTGAAAACAGCAGAGAGAAAATAATATTGCACTCAACTTGTAGATAGAAACTATCACAGAATGTGATGAAATGAAGTAGAATTAATTTCTTTCTTTTTGTTTTTGCTATGATAATGTTTTGTTTTACTTTTTGCCTTGCTGGGTTGGAAATATACACAATACAACAAACATTAATACTACATAATTAAAATATTTTCTTACGCATAGTACACTCATTACCTTAGAAGATAGTGCTTTTTAGCCTAACGAGTGGACATCAAATCGGTTCACTACAATTGTTGAAAGTGAAATCAACTATATGCAGCATGCACATAATAAACATTTCAATGTGATTCGAATCATTTAATTAGTACACAAGGTAACAGATGTGAGTTGTTAACAGTGAAAACACTAAATGGAATATTCAAGTAATAAAAGCACTTTGAAATCTATCATTGACGTGAAGTAGTTTCCATTTTTATTTTCTTCAAGTTTGAAAGAATGAAGAAAAATGTTCGGATGAAGTCTAGTATACAATACAAGTTGGAAGTTTTTTCAGCTTTTGGAAAGGATTCTTAATACTTGCCTTTTATTGTCACATTTCTCATTAACATCATTTCATCATTCATTTTATGTACACCTTGGCACAATAATATTGAGTCACCTTCTTCCACAAAGTTCAATGCAGTCATCAAAGTACAAGGTCTGCAAATAAACAAAACATGTTCCAATAATGAGAAATTGAATAAAATTAACAAAGAGATTGCAAAAATAAAAAAATAAAACCTACTTAATTTCTGCACTTTCAGAAACAACAGAGCGTGCTTTACTCATCAGATCAAGAAGTTCCATACAATTGCCTCCATTCCAAACAATAAAGATTTGTTCAGAACCTGTTGAATGATATGCCTGTCCTTTCTGGCGACGCTTTATTATCTTTTCCCTTTATTTCAAAAAATATTTTTAATTCATTTAAATATTTTACATACATTAAACAAGTGTTTATTTTTTTTTATTTTTTATTTTTACCTTAAGGATGGGTTTTCTATCATTTCAATTTCCTGGCACATTTGATCCCACTTTAGCTTAAGCTCCATGAGTTCTAGAGCAATGTCTTTTTCTTGAGAATCATCCACACAATCATCTTTTAACATAGGCTGCAATGAATGCTCTGTGTCCTTCATTTCAAGGAGCTTTTTATGTTTATGGAGATTTCTAGCTTCTTGAAGTAAACTTCGAATACATGATACAGTGTGGGAGCTAAGTACACCAGCCTGCATTTCTCGAAAGCTAACAAAAAGACATCCAAGGTAAGGCAAAATTTTTTTTTGATGTCAAAGCATATATTAGCACAAAAAATTCTAAGAAATTACAGTTTCATTCTGGGCTCCAAACGATTTGATACCCAATCTCGACTTTTATCATCTTCATCATCCCAAGGCTGCCAGATGTGAGTATAGAAAAACCTTGAAGAAAACGTACACAGTAACTAAAATGTATCTAAATGTCAGATGATATTTAGTTTAAAAAAGAATAGCCTAATCAATAATCCGGAGCTACATTCTAAAAAACGTTGAATTCATGCTCGTTATGAAGAACAATTCTAGGATGTCATAAAACACAAATTTTCAATAGTAATGTAATTCATGTCAGTAAGCTGCTAGTCATTTTTTATCAGAGTTGCAATGTACTGAAGGAAATAAACACTTCTTTATTTATTTATTTTTTTTTTTGCTTCTAGAAAGTTGTGTTTTATGACATATTATTTTTCAACCTATCACTCCAGAATTTGTCTGCTTACCGAAGCTTATCTAAACATTCAGCAATATCCTGAATGGATAATGATGCATCGTTTTGTTGCACAGTAGGATGAAGATGAATCAGTAGGGCATCATGATTTTCCGGCACCTCAATATCATCTTCAACAGCCACAATGTTTATGAGGGCTGAGAGTTCATTACAATTCAATTCTTGAACCTAAAATCATAACACACAATTAGGCTGTGAATATTAATTACAGAATTTACAGCTTTCGATAATAAACACTGACATTGACAAAGACAACGGTTGGAAAATCAATTTTAAGGTTTTCGCATGTTGCTCGGGGAATTTTCCAAAGTGCTTGCCATCCACCATTCTTCAGTGCTAATTCAACAACGTCACTCCACACATATTTCACTTCTGAAGCAGTAATGGTTTTTTCTGATTCTGTGAATATGCAAGAATATTCCGCGAGCCTTTCATCGAGAGACTTATGCACCGTAATTGGATTTAACATCTTTCTAAATTCGATAGCTTACAACTAAAATTATAATTCCTTATGGAATTGATGTATTTAAAACCTCTCAACAACTAATTGTATTCATAGGATACAATATTGTAGATTGTAATACGATCAAGTAAAATGCAGGTATCGACAGAATATGGACATATCAAGTTCACTAAAAGTTCACTTTCGTCAGCCCCAGGAAATTCGCGCCAATTTGAGGCAACTATAGTACAGTTTATTTATATGTGCACATGACACATATTAGCTGTTACCGTTTTATCCAATTAAGAGCTTGGAAGTTGCTACAGTGATGTCACTATGGAAACATTCAAGCTTTCGATTGGATGAAACTATGAACAGCTAATTTAGTTTAAATGCGTGGTTAAATAAATCGTAGTGTACTATGATAGAGAGAGTAAGTGCTAAATAAACGAGCATCGTGTTCCGCACAAGCTACCGTCAAAACCGGATACCGGCTGAAAATCATTGAAACTTCAAAGATACATTACGTACAATCGCGTCTAATTTCATAATTTTTTCAAAGTGTGACTTGCATTTTTATTATGTTTAAAGTGCCTCATTGGCATTACTTCACTTAACTATAGGTCATTTTTCCTAACATTTGGTCAATCCTTGTGATTATGCATATTATTCCTGCCTCACTGAATTTTTCTCGTAAGACTGCTTTAATTTGTAAGCCGTTATCTTTTTTAAAAAGGTTTCAATAAAATATTCGAACTCTCCGCGAAGCTGGGTGAACACACTCAATTTTAATATTTTTCACTAAATCATAAGTGGGGAAGAACAATGTTTTAGGTAATTGAGTTACTATTAATCCAAAAAACTACTACAAAAAATGGAAAAAATGGAAAATCAGGATCGTAGAGGTAAGTCGCGTTTTTTGTGTAACTGAAAGTGCAAGTTTTGTTGTATAAATACATTGTTTCTTAAAATTTTATTTATACTAAAACTTTATGTTTGAAGGTTTCCGGGTAAATTTTGATGCATTGTGCTTAGGTGATGACCTTGATGTAAGTGAAGAACATAGTAGCACAGAGGACAGATTCTTTGATAGTGTAATAGGTCATATTGAAGATGTTTTGCTTGGTATGTTGACAGAACGTAAGTAAATGACCAAACGTTTCCTTAAAAACAATCAACTAAAAAAAAGTTCCCCCATATTTCAGAGGATGAATTTCAAAATCAACAAAAATGTTTTCTTGAGAGGTACTGGCAAGAATTCGATTACGGAGAAGAAAACAAACTTAGCTACATGGATATATTCAAAGAATATGTATGTATCCTTGATTCAAAAATATTTTTGGCATTTATCATTTAAAATTTTCACCAAATTATTTTTTCATCAGATCAATGTAATTGAAAAGTACATTGAAGTGCGTCTTATAAACAAAATACCAAATTTCTCCATGGAAGAATTCATCCATCAGTTGCAGTGAGTACAATTACATTAAATACCATAAAACAGGGTGAATTACATTAACATATTAATAATAATAATAATATTTATTGAGTCACATGTACAATTACAATCTTTTATGACGAGTCAATATGATGCCTTGGGTGGAGAGAGCGAAGTTACATTTCTGTTCAGAAGCAAACAAGGGGCCATCTCAGCATTTGCTCAAAGGACCAGGGAAACTGAACTAAACCTGTTTGAGATGGGGTCATTGGCCTAGAAATACAATACTTGTTACAGTTAGATTAAGATATTATACTATCTGCTAAGATATTATATTATTTGCTAATAATTAACATTTCAATATGTTATTTCAATGCTACTTATAATAATAATAATAATAATTGCATTAATAATACATATCAATTATGTTTGCAACTACATCAAATTTAACAATAATAGTACATTCTATATTTATAACTTGAAATGGTGAGGGAGGCAGTTTGGACCAGTTTTTTTTCATTCTGATTCGCCTTGTATTTCACACGATGCGAATATGCCAGTTCTTTTTCTTTGCCTCTCAGCTTGAAAACGGTTTAACATGAAACAGAAAGTTCTATGGTATAAGAAATTCTTATTTATTATATTTTTTAAGGGAAATGTAATTTTGAGAAAATTCGTATTTACACTGGTAGAAACTGCTTAAGCAGTGAAAGCTTTTACTTTACTTAATAAATTTAAATGTATGAATTGGTGTTATGTTTTGATATCATTGGGCCTAGTTTGTTGTAAAGTGTAATGCCTCTATAGGGTACTTTGTTTGATGAAAGTGTTAGTTTCAGAGTAGGGAACATAGTAGGTTATGCCTTTTGCATGGTGTGTCATTAGTTGTGTACATCAGAATTTAAAGTAAAAGTGTCTTTGTTTTCCAATGAGGAAACTTTTCTTTATGAAGACACTAATTCAAAATATGTACATGCGATGGGAGAGGGAAGACATCCTTAGTTTATGTTTAAACAAGCGGTTTGGCAAGACTCCAGCATAGTCATGAGGCTGGTCATTGTTCGAAATATTCTTTTTTGGATATAAAATGTCGCGAAGTGCTTAATCAGGTGGATTTCCCAGAATATTCTTCCATATTTTGTAGGGTGTGTGCATATTTGCAAAATACATTGTTCGAAGTGTCTCAATGTTTGGAGCTTGACCTGAGGGTATATAGGCAGTAGCAAGGATTTGCTGAGCTTCTTGTTAAGATTCTGAGATGTGAGTGTTTCCATTTTAGGTATTCTTGAATTGTTAGTAACGAGGAAAGTAGTTTCAATGAACTATCGTTACTCGGTATTGTTTATGAGTAATGCTGTGAGAGTTTTTCTTTACATCGAGGAGTCATGAAATTTAGTAGAAGACTGTCTTGCTGGGTTTTAATGATGAGTTTGTTGTCGCTGAAACCATTTTATAGTGCTTGCAAAGTTTTGCTTGAGTTTTCTTTTTTCTAATGATTGTTGTGTTTTTGCTTTGATGTTTGTGTCATCTGCAAACAAAATTATTTGGTTGTTCCTTAAAGCCAAAAGCATGTCATTTATGTATATAAGGAATGGTATTGCCCCAAGGATGGATCCTTGCGTGACTCCACAATTTATTATTTGAGGACAGGGGTAGTATGAGGAGATTTCATTTTCTTTAATGTGTTGGAGGGCAACTATTTGGCTATGGTTTGATAAATACGATTTGATCCATTGGCCTGCAATCCCTAGCATTTCTAGTTTTCTTAAAAGTATATGATGGTCAATGATATCAAAAGCTTTTGATAAATCTAAGAAAAGGCCAATGAGAATTTCATTTTGATTTAGTGCAACAAGTATGTCATTTAAAAAGAAGATGGCTGTGTCTGTGGATCTATCACTCCTGAAGCCATGTTGTGCATTTGTAAGGACATTATTTGCATTGAGAAACTGTTTGAGTCTATCATTGAAAAGCCTTTCCAGAATTTTTGAAAATCCTGATAACAATATTTAGAGTTGGGTGAATTGTTATTACTTTATGTATTTTTTGGATCTGTTTCTGACTTAATAAATTCTTAAATTTTCAAATTGGAAGCTTGTTTTTCTATAAACACTGATGTTTCTATTCACCTGCTAATGTAGTAAATAGAAACATAGTGCAAAATTTATTGTTTCTATTCTTTTTAAGGAAGGAAATATAAAAATGAAGTTTGATTTGATATAAAGAAATACCAGTTTTTCTTTAAAAAAACATTTTTATGTAAGTTTCCATACTTAAACAAAGTTTTATAATAACATTTTCACAAGAATATCAGCCAATCTCCTTGTATATCACCACTGAAGAATCATGGTGTGCAGACACTTTTCCTAGGAAGACAATGAATTTTTTTTTTTCTTCTTCTTCTTCTTCTTGCAGTTTAACTTGTTAAGTTTCCTCACAGTGTTGAAAAGTTCAACAAAAGTTTCCTCAATCAATGTTCTGCCCAATCAATGTTGTATCCCATTTTAAACAATTTTCCCCTTGAAACCGTCAAGGAACGAAAGAATTGCCACATCAAGTGTTTAATTGGCATGAAGAAAAATAAGTTGAACACTGTTTTGAAAATTTACTCTGATAGCCTCCAATGTACAATGTTTGGCAAGATGATTATATACCTGGCTGTTGTCATACCAACTTGATTTTGTACCTTACATTCTTAGGTCAATCTTTCCATGAAGGGCAATGTACAATCTGCTGCACAAAACATTTCAGAGGATGCTTTTGTGTTTACATGTCTATTTGCAGCCTGATTCTTTTTACCTGGGTCATCATTAATCTTAATTTAATCCACCTCCACTCATTTCGTTTCAGAGCAGCCAAACAAATTGCCAAGATCAACCATATGGGGAAGTCGGGTGTGAATCACCCGAGTAATATCAATACTGTTAAAGGTTTTTATTTGGGTACCCTTAAGGCCTTGCAAGTTGGTCATCCCTGAGATAATCCAATTTAGTCCATGCTTTGTTTAGATATACTCTTGCCTTATTGTTTTCAGAGAGAGGAAAGATGAACTAGATGGAGAAGTGTTTGAAATTCTAGACACATTCTCTGATTTCATGGCATTTAAAGAAATGTTTCTCGACTACAAAGCTGTGAGTGATTTTTCCCTACTTTTAATTAAGCATTTCTTGAAACACCCATAAAAGTTAAGTTTTTGTTTCAGATTAAAGAAGGAACTGTTGAAGACCTTAGCAAAGACATTGTTGTAAGCTCTAAACACTAAGAAAATTATTAAATATTTACTTACTCCGTCCTCAATGTGATAACCTAAATGTTGATAGGAGTCTTTATTTACACTAGGATATAATATAGAATAGAATCCTTTTAAAAAGACTGATTTTTTTATTTAATGATTTTGAATTACAAAAGTAAGAAATAAACAAAATTAATTCATAAGAATTTCTATTTGCACTAGTCGACTATTTGTATCGCCAGGCATGTGATATGGTACTGTGCCAGCAAAAGTGGTAATGGAACGTGCTTTCTCCCGAAGATAACCAAGTTGCTGAAACAAAAACGTGTGTAAGTCGAGTCATGTCAGTATTAAATCAGATAACCAACACAAGTAGCAATTTCTCGTAGGACAAATAAATCAAGATTATCACTCAAGACTGATAAATTGAATGGACATATTTAGGATACATTATCTCAATTTTTTTTCTTTTCTTTCTCCAGTTTCATGTTACCTAAAATTTTGATGCTTTCAAGTCTGCGTTACTAACAAACTACATTATTGATTAACTGACCTTCACCATACTCTTAATTTACATTGTTTAGAATTAAATTGCAAACTAGCACATAAAAACCTTCACACGGTAATGGGCTATTTTTTAATGTCCTTGCGACCTTTGTAGGCCAAACAGTGATGCCAACATTTCAACCATCTTGTCATGGTGTTCCTCAGGACTCAAAAACTATTTGCATGACAGCCTTCAATAGTGTCACTCAGACAACCTAAAGAACATGCCATGGAAGCTATGACATTATACAAAATAACCCTACTTTCTTTCATGTTGGCGGCCAGTCAACAACACAGTCATGTTACTTGTGAATTTTGATGATGTACAACCTTTTACATTTCCCTAGATACAACCTGAAGCAATATCAATGTTATCCCTTTAATGTTCTCTCTAAAGTCAGCAAACCATGCACAACCATTTTCCTGGATCCCCAGGACAAAAGCAATTTTATGATACCTGGGTTTAATAAAACCCAGTTATAAGAATAATGTGCTTATAAGAGGCTAGCCAATAATGAATCCCAATATACAATTTTCAAAAATTTTCTTCTCACTGTTTTTTATCTGTAACACAGACTTATGGTTTGGATTTATTTTTTTCCCTACAAGTAAGACAGAAGTTGGCACAAATTTTCTTACATGACAAGCCGAGTAACTGTTTGGTTTTACTAATGAAAACCCTTACCCAGGAATGCATGCGAGGGCATTGAGCTATTGTATGGAAAGGTTTTCTCCAGACAGCATTCTATGTGTGAAAGGTGAAAACCTGCTATATGTTTTTCCTTGTGTATTGTATAGTCAAAGGCATGAACAATCTCATCATGTTAATCCTAATAGTCAAATAGAGCAAAAGGGAGTAGCGTGAGCCTCTGCAATATTTAAAACTGCATCTTCAGGCATGTGTATGGTGCCTTTTGTCATGTTGATACTGATAATTGCTGTCTCGAGGAAGTGCTCTCTGCATGAAAGACTAAAAGGGAAGCTTATGTTAATATCTGAAAAACTTGATAGCACATATCACGCAAAGAACAATAAAAATATAAGAAACAGCTAGACTATGTTCCTATATATATTATATCTTATTATATTAAATTCATTAAGGTAAATTGAACAGAATAAATTTGAGATATCAATATATTTTAATTTTCAAGTACCAATATAGAAAGCAAAATGGTGAAAGGGATAAAACTTAATAGACTGAATAGTTGTTTTCATACATTTGAAAACAATTTTTTAAGGACCGATTCTGATAGTACTTAAGTTTACAAAAACTTGAGTTCTATTTGTAGATGCATTAACTCCACAAAGCATCAGACATTTCAAGTCTTATTACAATAAAATATAGAAATATGTCACGAGTTTTTAGTCACCAAGTCTTTTATAATGCACTGTCATTTTATTCCAAGTGAAAATGAATACATTAAAAATGCATACTATTATATAGTAATGAGCTCTATTTTCATGACACTCCATGTACCCAAATTTCACAAACAAAAAAAAATTATAATTTTTACATTATGAAAAACTACCAATCCTATATCCTCCCATTTAACCTTACATCACAAAAACTAGATTGGATGCTGTATCATTTCAACACAGGTGGAATGAAAGAGGCTGTGTACATCACATGTGACAAGATCTCATGCAGCACACACTGATGTCTAGGTAGGATCCCTGTAAATAGATGTCAAATGAAAGTGCCATTTGAAGATGGCATTCCTTGTAGGGTTATTAACTTGCTAACATAATACAAATCTTTGCAAATTAAACTAATAAAGATCTTACAGGAAGTCTAACTGCCAAGGACAACTGACAAACTATGACGTGTACAATGCAATGGGAATTCAGAACTACCAGCAAGACTACAGTTCATCCTATATCTAATACGAGAAGATACCAATGCTCCCCTTCCAGAATGTGGGCTTTGATTTCAAGTTTACAGATTGCAACATAGTGTCTCAGAGTCAATGGGTGCTGAATTAGTTTAATTTTCTCATATTGTATCATAGAAGTCAGAAACTAGTCACATGTTAGGTGTTTTTGAATTCATTAGACATTAAATGCGTGTAACTAAAAGAAATACAACTGTTCTATGACTGAATTGTATTACATGCCTGGTGTTCGGTCCCACATAGAAATATTACATAAGGAATCGATCATCACGCAAGGCAACGAAGGCCAGGGTCTACGAAACGCTGAATCGCAGGAACCGTTTATCATGCCAAATCATGGCATGATAAACGGTTCCTGCGGTTTCGCGCGCCGAGCAAAACAGTAGCAACCAATGCCACACTCCCAGTATCAAACAGGTTCGCTCCGTTGCCCGTAGACCCCCCTGCACAAAGGAATTCAGGGGAAATAGGGGTAGATGAAACAGAAAAAATCTCAGATGCCTCAAACAGCACTAATCAAAAGACAAAATCCTCCTCAATTGGTAGTTTCTACATAGAAAAAGCTACCCTTCACGACCCAGTAGGCTACTGTAAAAAAAGCTCTATATGCTCAAATTAACGCACATGCGTTAATCCTACGACCTAGCTGCATTGAATACCACAAAACAATAGATGACATCCTTAAAAAGACAAAAACTGACACCGAATTAAATTACTATTTCAACAGAGCTACAGCGGAACGACGCAAAAGGCTCATTATTAGGGGTCTAGGCATCAACCTGAGCTGCGAGGAACTTAAAAATGAAATACAGAATCATGGAATAACGGTTCACCACCTGAGCGAAATGAGAAGGAAAGTAGCTCCAAATACTTTTGAAGGCTTCGGGCTCTATGCCATAGAATTCCAGAACTCTGCCCAATGCCCGGGCCAAGATACAATTAATACGCAACTGAAATGTGCGAATTGCACAGGAGCGCATCCCGCTAATTATCAGGAATGCAGCTTTCACTTAGAGGCATTACGAGTGCGAAAACAACTCGAAAGGCTTCGTGCCGCCCGCGAGCAGCGCATCGGCAATACACCCGCCCAGAGCAACGCACACCAGCGCACTAATTTCCCCTCACTCGCAACCCCTACCGCCAGCGCCCCAACATGGTGGGGGCAAACCACTCAATCACCACAGAGCCCGCAGCCAATCGACGCTCTTTCTAAAGGAACTGATCGACTTAGTCAAAGGTTTCAACATCGCAAAAATAATAACCGCTGCTAAAACAGCAATAAATATTCTAAAAGGCCCTGGCGACTTACTAACCAAGGTTCTCACAGCCTTCCAAGCAGTAACCGAAATTTTTTAAATGGCCCACATAGTAAACAGGTTATATAATATCGCGTCATGGAACGCTAATTGCTCCTGCATCAAAACAAAAACTCTAATTGAAACATTCTGCGACGACTATGGCATACCCATCCTCCTACTCCAGGAGACGCACCTATCAAGCACCCGCACCTTCAACTTAAGAGGCTTTCACATTTACAGAAACGATAGGACTACCAGGCAAGGCGGCGGCACGGTAATTGCGATTAGACGTACCCTCCCGCATACGAGACTAACCACGCCCCAACTAGTAAATTTAGATGCGACAATAGTAGAAGTAGGAACGGCCACCGGTCCGATAATCTTCATATCCGCGTACAGAAGCCCAGCACAACTACTCACCGAAGACTTGGACGCAATTACAGCTAACTGCGCCACAGTCGTAGGTGGCGATTTGAATGCGAAAAGAATAGAATGGGGATGCCGAAACAACTCAACAGCCGGCAACGTTCTCCACAAATATCTTGACTTCCATCCTTCATTAACCTTACACCCCCCAACGGACCCACTCATCTCGTCAATCACTTACTTCACGATATTCTCGACCTATTCATCCACTCCCACTCCATCCAACAGTTCCGCGCCCGCTAAACGAGCTACACTCCGACCATCCCCCAATAATTTCGGCAATCTTCACAGGAGCCTTCCCGCTTCGTTTTGCAAAAAAGTCTCTGTGAACACGGGCTGGAGGAAATATCGCGATCGCGTGGCCCACAAGATTCATGCCACAAGCAGAACGCCCGAATCGACCCACGAGATTGACGAAGTCATAGCAAAATTTGAATACCAAATCAGAACAGCGTACAACATACATACATCCAAAATTCAGCAGAAAAGCGGCCGTGAACATCTTCCACCTTACATCATTGCTTTAATTCAAGAACTACGCCGGGCACAAAGACGGTTCTACTCCTCACGAGATGCAATAGACAAAGCCATATTTCAAACTACACGACGCACAGTAGCACGAATTCTAGCACAATATAGAGAAAGACAATGGAACGAATTCATAGCAAAAGCGGATCTAAAAGACCGCAACAACTTATGGAAAATTCAAAAAACCCTAAAAAAATCCGCCAGCACCCATCACGGTCCTTAAAGACCCGGCCAGTTCAAACAAAACATACGACCCAGCGCGCAAAGCAGATATCTTTTCCGCAGTCCTGCAAAAACGGTTCACGCCAATCCCGACGAACGCCTACTTCACAAGAAACGGTCTCTACCACCCAGTGACGGACGTATTGCCCCCAACGTGCGACGACTGCCAACTTACGGACCACGGCGGAAGACAAACGGAGGAAAACATTGCAAATCGCAGAAGAAAAACTGAGAGAAAAAAATCAAATTCCTAAGCGATAGAAAAGCGAGCGGGACAGATTAAATAAGTGGGAAGATGCTCAAGCATTTGCTAAAAAGTGCCGTCCTTGCCCTAGTCCAAATCATGAATGCCTGTTTAAACGCCAGCTACTTTCCGAACAACTGGAAAAAAGCGCACATAATCATGCTGCACAAGCCCAACAAAAATCAAACGGACCCTGAAAATGTTCGCCCTTCAGCCTTCTAACCCGAATTTCGAAGCTATTTGAAAGACTACTCCTCCCCGCCATAAATAAAAAATTACACGAAGCCCAACCTCTCACAATCACTGCAGGTCACAGAATATCTTTTCGCTGACGATGTGGTCTTTGCATTGAAATTCGGAAAGACTAAAAGTGCAGTCCGAAGATTGCAAGAAGCAACAAACAACCTAGTAACATGGTGCAAACTAAACGGTATTACAATAAACCCCAACAAATGCCAGGCAATAGTTTGGCTAGCGCCGAGAAAAACCTCGCACGCCTCTCAGCATCAACGGCACGTGGCTCCCCTGGCAGAAACATAAAATACCTGGGAGTAACATTCGATAAAAAACTGTTGTGGCAACAGCACTGCATACAAGTAGCCAAGAAAATGGGCTCATACATTGCCAGGCTAACACCCATTTTAAGCAAAAAGAGTATCAAACAAAATCAAAGCCCTTCTCTACACAACATGCATTCGTAGCGCAGGCACATACGCGTGTGCAACCTGGGCGACGGCATCAAAAGACAATATCCGCCACCTTTCTAAAGCCGAGAACCGATTCACCCGCATTTCGTGTCGCCCAGAAATTGGCCAACATTACGCGCGCTATCTCAAAATCCAAGAAATTCCTTCAATCTCTTCCCACATCATTGAAATAGCTCAGAAGCAAATAGAAACCATCTTCACAAACCCAGGATTAAAGACCGTATTTCAGCAGTTTGCTCAATATTACAACAAACTGCCATCAGTTGGGCGCAAACACTTTCGAACAGATGCCCACTGCCTACAACCCCCCTAATCTCAATAACTTAAATTCAAAATTGCACATACCACCAGCGCAATAGACACTAACCACAAACTATCTCCGCATCCTATATTTCCCAAACCAAACACCAACTCCAATCTAAGAAAAACTTTTCTTCATTCTTTCCTTCATTCCTTTTACCAACGCACTGAGCAATCCGCCGCGAGTCAAATCGCAAACCTAAACGTAAAACAATTTGAGAGTTTTTCCAAGGCCCCGCATTCTCGCATGCGGAGCAGGGCTCTCCTTCCAGCAGCACCACAACAAGAACATCCCGGCGGAAGAGCGCCAACTAAGGCGTAGACCGCCCAGAAGTCGAAACAACTCACAAAGACAGAAGGCAAGCGATCATTGTTGCGTAGGCCGTATTTCACTAATCATTCTGTAAATTCGTTACAAGCCTTTGCAGGAAGAAAATGACACGCGCACAATATTGTGCAACACGCCAGCCGCCAGCCGGCGCACCGAGCCATTCTCAGAAATGAAACCCATACGGGAAGAGTATGTACACCCCTTGCCACCGCCTCTTGCTACGCCAACAGGCGAACAATTTAAACACATTTGTATTCTGATTCAGGATTGGCTAATCGTCATCCCTTCCATGCCCGGAGATCTTGTCGCTACCTGCAAGACATAGGCGCGCTAGTCTCTGAGTAAACACCATTCGAGCCAGACGTTACTCGAACTCCGTAATGAAGATTCACGTTAAACGAACCTTACGAAGCATGTAGCTTCATTTTGTATCTTTTGAAGTTAATTGTGCTAATCGCTCGAGAACTATTGGGCGGCAGTGACTCGAACGCATACGCGGGTCGGCCTAATGACTGCGAAGCAGATTAACAATCTTATTTAATTAGTACTCCAACGTTAAACTCTTGT